AGATTCTAAGGCAAATAATTTCCTTTCTGCTAGTGCTAGCATGAGAAATGTTACAGAAAGTTGGGTCTATTTGTAGAATCATTGCGAAAGTAGATTCTCAATCATATATCCTGTCTCACAATATAGAAAAAAATACAGATTGCAGGCAAAAGGGAAGCATATCTAACATGCAGCATAAAACTTGAGAGAACAATGCTGAGAGCTAGCTCCGGTCTCCTAAAGCTTTCATCCTCGCCTTTCTCCGTATGTTCTAGACTTTTGGTAGACATTTCCATTAGCATGCAAGGATTTTAAGAGATGATAAAATGGCAGTAAAACAGAATACCTACTGAAAACAGCAATTCACACTGGTGTAATACTGAAAAATAATTTATTAACTTTTAATAATTTCTTTTACTGAAAAAAGCCTTCTACTGTGATAGAAACTAAAATATTACACAACAGATCATTTTAGCTTATTAGCAAATGGACATTTTTCCTCTGCTAATTGCACTAGCATCAGACATGCTATTTGATGCCTGAGGGAATTCTTATGAAGCTATTCTCACTACCCAAGTACCTGCTATTATTAAGACCCAGAGTATAAAATACAAGATAAAGTGCACTACGGCAAACAAGGTTGCCAAGATACTAATCCAAGGTGGCTCTCAACGTCATGAAAAAATCATAATATGTTTCGATCTTAAAAATTATCCTCAAATTGACTGAGACGCTTGAGGTGTCTAGATGGCTTAGCAGATTTCTACTCAGTTTAGTAGGACTGCATTGTCACTAACAGGAATCTCTCTGCTCAGCTGTATTTTCAGGATCCTCTTAGAATCAGAATAAAGTAGAAATTGAGGAAATCATCTGAGTTTCTGTAGCTCAGCAGGCTACTTTTGTGAACACATACTAAGCATTAAAACTTATACTCTAAAAAAATGCACAAATAAAATAATGCAAATTTGCATACCAGCAAGATAGCGTTTTCCTTGATGTCGACAGAAATTGAGTGCAGTGGATTAGCAGTACAAATGGGAGACAAGCACGTGTAGTTGGTTTCTTTAGCTTAGGAATATAATTTTACTTTTTTCTATAGCAGTGGCCACAAAATTCTCTGTATTCCCCTCCTTCACGATGTCAGCAAGGCACGTTCCAGTGCCACATCTGGTGAGGCAGCCATAGGCAATTTTGCATGCCATGGCAGCACACGTGCAACAACCAGCTCCACAACTCTCTGTAAGTCACCGATGCGGTTTCACAGATCCACACAGATTGGGACCAGGGACACTGGAGGGATTCCAGTGAAGAGGAAAAATTTCAGCCGCATATCCAAACTGTGTCAGGTGTATAGCAGAATCAAGTCACACATTAGCGTATCCAGGAAGCAGACAGGAACTGGAATGGCAGAGTACACAAGTAAAACGGCATTCAAAGACTTGCAATAACTTGGGGCAGACATAATGACACTTTCATGTTAGAATGGCAGTTTCTGAACACAGAAATGATCCATTCTACTTGTGAGTGATTTTGTTGGCATAAGGCCGATGTCTCCTTCACTTGCATGGACTTTGAAGATTCACTTTTTTAACAGATGCTAAAAAAGATGCTGTTTAAAAGCTGCTTGACAGAACTAGTCATTGTATGAAGTAATACAATTAATTTGCTCAACCTGGAGAAAATAAGGTATATGAGAGCATAGAAAAGTCACTTCTGCAATTTCATTTTTCCTTATGATAACTGCCTCTCAGACACATCTCATCCATAGCCATCAGACCATAAAACTAGGCTATTAAGTTAAAACTTGCACTTTAAAAATCCACAAAACCTTGTGTTAGGAATATGAACCGTGACCCCTTTAGTTATTTAGGAGATCTAGGCATTTTCAACATTATTACAAGGGGCCATTAGAAGGACCGAATCCATAGTCTTTATTGATTTAAGAGTCATCCAGCTGTACTTATCTCAGTGTTACTCAAGTGAGCTACTGTTGCGAGATTATGACTTACAGACTTTTACATTTATGCTAGAAGGCAGCCAGGAAAACTAAACGTTAGATCCAGCATCTCAGTTTGAAGCCTAAGGTCTCATTAACTTCAGGTAAGTTTCTTTTGTGCCTATCTCCCATTTGCCTCACTAACTTTTCTCGCTGGCTCTGGGTATAATAATGGGAGCAGATCACAGACAAGTGAGAAACCAAACACTCAGTGAGAAGCAGCTACAAAAGTGATTAAACAGTTTTTCTGTGGTTTATTATGGCAGCTTTTCCTTTTTGAATTTTTCCCTAGACATATATAGGAATACTTTTTTTTTATATATATATATATATTTTGCAAGTTTTGACTTTCTGCAAACATTGCAAGGATAGCACAGCAATCAAAATCATAAACGTTTTAGTTATCCATAGCCACATTTCCTAGATAGTAAATGGATGATGTGATCAGTTAGTACTGCATAATTTATTTGTCTTTAAAAAATCCCTTTTACATTCTTCTGCTTGTTCTAAAGTATTTGACCCTTCTCTTATTCCACATAGAACTACCTCAAAGCTGAATCCGCACAGTTTGAGAAGTTCTCCTTGCGGGGAGCTCAATATTAACACAGGAGGACCCACTGTTTTCCTGTTCAGAGTATGCTTTGGTTCTGCATATAGTCTTAAAAAAATCCACTACTTCAGTACTATGAGATTCTTACTATTAGCCATCAGCTCATTCTAACAAAACCACAGGCAATGTCTCTGCCACCAAAGATACTTCAAAGACTGATGGCTTGGACTTGCCTTGAAGCGTTACGAAAAATGACTAACATACTGATGAACATCGCAAAGTGTTATTGTTAACACTGGGAAAACCATTCTAGCTCAAATTCTCAAAGGTACTTGGAGAATTTTACTGTTAACTTCAAAAGAGACAGGATTTGAACCTTAGATTTTTTTCTCCTGACTCTTAGAAACCGCTTTACCCCTTTCTAGCTAGTTTATGCTATAATCCCCCTAAAATCGTGAATTTATACTGACACAAAACCTTTCATAAAGGGGCAGAGAGCCAGATAAACAGTGTCCCTTTACTGTCCTTCTGAACTCTCATGGAGCCCAAAGATTACATTAGTTTTCAAATTAATCAGACAGTAACACTTCCCACATATGTCTATTCATCCCTGAAAAGTAGCTTTCTGTATTACCTTCCCCTCATTTTACTCAAATTGATATTTTCAAAACATACCAAGTTTAGTGCTCTCTAAACATTACTCTCAAACATAGCATTTTTTAAAAGACTGTGACTCCTTAAGAAAGATCTGATAATCTTTAAACATATTTCTGTTTTATAACAAAAAACGTCTTAAACAAAACCTATTGTTCTAACGTGCAAAGTTAGTTATTTTGATATGTAGTCTTAAATTTTTCTGCATATCGAATGTTATGTAGTTTCAAAACTCTGGTTTGCACATAAAGTATACAATAAAAGTACAATATAAATAAAATAGTTTATTACAAGTATTTTTAAAAAGCTCTACAATACACTTTACACTTTCAAAACATTTTATACAGAATTCTGTCTTTCAATATGAAACAATTCACATAGGGAGAAAAAAATCTCAATATATAACTACAGTCATTATTAACGTACTGAACTTGCCTGTCATACAAAAATCATGGTAACTACAGACTGCTTCTGAGTATCTTTCCTGGTTTTATTTTCTCTGAAAATGGGAAAGAATAACATGTACGAAAATAAAATAAAAACTCCCTTCACCCTTCACTTCATTTATACAAATACTACAAAGCTCATGCCTCAGCAAAACCTAGATAAATCACTTCAAAAATTAAAAAAAAAATCAAACCCATTTTACTTAAATAAATATGGATCTATTTAAATAGTGAAAAGAATGCCATGTATCTTACAGATATGTTAATTTAGAAATAGGATTAAAAACTTCAGGTTTCAACTATTCAGAAGTTGCATAACAAAGGAAAATATCCTAAAAGGTAGTTTTTGCAGAGGGGAAAAAAAAAAAAGAAAAAAACTTCCTTCTTGTTCATAACCAATAAAGCTCCGCTGCTCTTACACTTTTTGCCAGCCCCACAGGCACAATGGGCAAAGCTCTCTACTTACCAGAAAGTATAACTACAGATTCTATTAATACAAAATCGGAATTACTTAATTTGAGCTAAAAGTCATTTTCAGTCTCTTATATTTAATGTAACAAGAACATGAATTCCCGACAAAACTGCTCATCTGAGTTATTATCACATCTTAGAGAACAGTTCTTTTAGTGGTGCAATATGTACACTAGAAGAAAAGGAGACTGGAACAGATAGTAAACCCGTTCGTAATATTAATGATAATTTCTTGTCCTCTTTTCTTGCAGAAAAATAGTTCAGTATTGTATGAATTGGCCAAAACAGCTAGAAAAGGCAAGGGATATAAAAAAAAGTGGAGATAATAAAGTGGTGAAATGGATTAATTGGTTATAAATCCTGCTACGTGAGCATTGTCTACTTATATTTTATCTAAAAAGGGA